TGGATAGCTGGCCAATCACAGCATACCTCGCTTTTTCAGACCGATGAGTTTTGTAAAAATCGACGCGTTTCAAAAAGGCGGGGCATAGAGGAGAAACAATAATGTACAGTATGTGGAAAATAATGTGTTTTTTACTTTAAACCGCATAAACACATTTCATTACACCAAATACACAAAATAATGTTCTTTTTAGCAGCATCATATGACCCCTTTAAACAAATTTTTTAAATATACCACCTTTATGTTGTTTCTACATTAATTTGGAGGTTCAATGTGAAATTATGACAATATATTAATATGCAATTAATCACAGAAAAATGTGCGATTAATTCGTTAATTTTTTTAATCGACTGACAGGCAGCACTAATGTTAGCCTTTTATAGATGTTGGTGTGGGTAATGTTACTTCATTTTACTGCTGAATATGCATTTCAATTTAATTTATAATTTTATAGGCCCCACAGAGAGTGATCGGGATGCACCCCACCCCCTTGGCCCCCTTCAAATTTTCAATTCAATAATCCGGCCCTCAAATGAAACTAATTGAATAGCCCTGATCTAGGGCTTGCTAATGACACAAAATGGCGGTTTACCAGATTCTCCAGGGTCTCCGTTCGTGCTTGGGTTCCTTGAAGCGTTTCACTGTGGAGAGGAAACACAAGCTTTCATATCGGAAGCAGGAAAAATGGGGTGATCAATAATGTCTGCCACTTGGGGGTAGTGCTACTGATGCTAAAAACCTCTTTCCTGGCTCTATCAGATACAGTGCTACAAAAACACAGAGGTCAATAAATGATACATGAGATTAACATTTCAAAAGGGGAAGAGCTGAATGAGGAACTGCTCCATCACAGGTTTAAAGAGTTTTCTGCATTCACATGCAAAACCAAAACAATGTGCAATTGAAGCAGTCATTACAAAATTTTATTTTTCCCTAAGAAAAAAAGAATAAAAGACAGCAAAAAAAAACTACTTAATGTTTTCTTTTTTATTTCTATTCTTTTAATAATGCAATTTTCTTTATTATATTTTTATACAATATATTTTTTCTTTATATCCCCCAAAATATAAAAATATTATTTTAAAGAGGTGCACTGAATGTATGAACTGTACGTTTATGTTTTTATATACATTTTTAGATACTGACAACAAAAACATTGTAAACTGCATCGGAGAGGACAGTGATAAAGATAAAAACAAACGTAATTGCTGGCAGTGTTGCTTCAAAAGAAGCAGTGAGAATTGCTGCTTTTTAGGCTGTGGAAACCGCTAGTGCAGCCACCCTAGTTTCCAAACGTGACCCAATGGCTCACACAAATAAAGGGCAGCCTGTTTCACACAATGGCTGTTTGTTTGTGTACAGCTATTAACTGTGTCCTCTGAACACAATCTCTTACTCTTTACAATTACAGCTCACATAACCACTGAGAGATGATGACACATAACTTACAATTTCACACATCTCGTATATTCCTCTGGATTACCCTGTTCTTTTGGACTGTTGTAGTGTTTTGTTTTTTTTAACTCTATTGAGTTAAGAGACCTAAGAGTCAGGTGATCTCTAGGTCACTTGATGGGTCATAAAAACAATGACAACTAGTAAAAATCTATCTTCAACTTTAAAACATGCTTTAATAAAGTCTATTCTATTTTTTGTGAGAAGTTCTCTTATGCATATAAATACAAAATTATCTATTGGTTATTAGTCAATGAAATTAGATTTTTTTTTTTTTTTAAGAAAAAAGTGGCTCAAAGTGATCTCAACGATATCATTCCTCTGTGTCGTTGTTGTGGTTTTGACTCCACTATATTTAGAGTGATTTTTTGAAACTTTATAGTCATCGTTCTTGGTATGAACATCCCGACACAGATTCTTTCATGTCAATGAGACATGTAAGAAGTGTATGCAAGTACACACATGCCCAAAGACCAGGGGTCTGTAAATGACCTAAACAAGTTAAGAAGATCTGAGAGGGTGTGGCCAAGCAAAAACCAAAGATCCAACATTATGTACCCTTTAAATGTGCTCACAGAGTCTTTAATTAAAGTACTGTGTCAGGTTGACAGTAGTGAGCATGCAGGTGCAGCACTGCACTGAATGATTCACAAACATGCCTTGACCTGCGCACTTCTAGGACCAAACCCTTAAAGGGGTCCTATTATGCTCTTTTACAAAGTATTGATTATGTTTTGGGGGTGTACTAGAACATGCTCTCATGCTTGGTGGTTCGAAAAACGCACTATTTTTCACATAATTTACATTATTAAAATACCTTTCTCCCCAGCCTGGCACAAACGGCTCGATTAGTTCCGGCTTTGATGAAGGTCCACCCTCCGAAAAACAAAATCTGTTGTGATTGGTTAGCTGTCCCAGTGCATTGTGATTGGCGAACAGCTTAGACGGTGTTTCAGTACTGCCCCGCCCCTTGCTCCGTCTTTCAACAAAAACTTTTGGGCGAATCCCTCTGTTGTGGAAGCTGCCGGAAACCAACGCTGTAGTCCAAACGAGCCGTTTGCTGTAGTTCTTGAAAAGGGATTTAAAAAAACCGAAATATCTCCCTTTGGAGTGGACTTTGAGATTTGTAACTTTCTAGATCTTTTTTATGCCCAAACATACACACTACACACTGACTAAAATTAAAAAAGTGAAAAAGCATAATAGGACCCCTTTAAGTCTTCAATGAGTCAACCTGAATTGATCTTTAATGTTGCAAAAAAAAAAAGGTACAGACAGATCTGTTTATCCATATTATGACATATGAGTGTACACACATTTGAGTGTAACAGATTATTGAAAAAAATGTGGGGCAACAACTTAGTCCAATGCATCGTTGTTTAATAGATTTTGAGATGTGGCCGTTGTGCTCAAAAGTGGAGGCAGAGGAATGCGAGTTTATAGGGACTCGTTTAAGCGGACTAAATGACTGGATGGGTGCCATCAGAATGAGAGTCCAAACAGCTAATAAAAACATTGCAATATTTGTTTCATGATGGATTTGGATAATACAAACATGTAGTTTTTCGCTTCACAAGATGGTTATTGATAGACTGGAGTCGTATGGATTACTTGTGGATTATTGTGATGTTTTTATCAGCTGTTAGGACTCTGATGGCACCCATTCACTGCAGAGGATCTGTTTGGTTAGCAAGAAATGTAATGCTAAATTTCTCCAAATCTGTTCCGATCAAGAAACTCATGTACATCTCGGATGGCCTGAGGGGGGAGTACATTTTCATTTTTTTGGATTAACTACTCCTTTAATGAAAACAGTTACCCTATACTTACACATAAGGGTGCTGAAGGCCACCACTCCCAGAAGGCCCTGCAGGAAGATGCCAAAGGAGTCCATGAAGTCCCCGCTTGAGCAGCCCCGTGTATCAGGATCAGTGGGCGAGGAGTTGGAGGATGCAGACGGCAGCTGACCCTGCGACAGCACGCTGACCCCAACACCCGCCATTGCGCAACACTTGGTGGATCACGAGTCAAAAAAAGCCAGAAAATATCAGTCTCGAGAGGTGGAGATGATCGACAGGACGATGACACAGCTATGGTACATAATGAAGGCTGTCCTGAGCCTCCAGTCACGGTTACTGAAGCGCAGATGTATCGTGTTTCATACTGGACCTCGATGCGTCGCTATCCAGTTGTGAGCTACCTAATGTCTGTCAGCAGGTTGTGCTGTATAAACATCTCCTTCAGCATCGAGTAAACATGCTACAGACTCAGATGTGTAATGGTAGCGGTTGATGCTCTCAATACTACAACACACACACGTTGTCATGGAGACATTTATCGGTTATATTATCGTACAGCGCGTGCGGTTAGCTGCTAGAATAAAATAATGTGGCTTCACGGTTAAATTAAAGCAGTTAAACGGTTACGGTTAAATTAACTCAAGAAATAAGGCCTTTAAACCTTTACTTCCCGTTATAACGCGGTTTGAAAAGCAAATAATACGCGGCTGATTTGGTAGTTCTGCTGTTTTATAGCGCGAGTCCGGTCAGGCGCTCCTGCTAGCAAACCAGCTGAGGAAAAACCCGCCACCGCTGCTTTCAAGAAAATAGCTGATTCTCAATCTGCTCAGATTCAAGAAGGTCGGCGCCCAAACTAGTCACATACGTATCTGGAAAAGAGAAATATTATCCGTAAAGGCAGGACACTTCCTTTTCCAATGTATTCTTCTTCTTCTTCTTCTTTGTGTTCAATGGCCGTTCACTCCTTATTAGTATTACCGCCACCTACTGTATATCTTGCGCACATGGGAGATGAATCTGTATTGCTATAAAAAAAAAAAATCATAATTGTAATGCCCCACCCACCCCAGAGGATCAGAGCCCAAGCTTCAGCTGGCACTGCGTGTTCAGCTCCTCCAGCTTCCGCACTGGGCTCCTCAACCTCCGAGATGATCCTCATCCTCAAACGCTAAATCCTGTGGTACTGTCCTGTAT